TCCTCTCAGTCCCTGGGAATCACCGTTCTACTTTCTGTTCCTATGAATGTGACTACTTTGTATATCTCCTATAAGTGGAATCAGACAGCATTTGTCTGTTTGTGGTGAGGGTTTAGTAGCTAAGTCGTGTCTGACTCTTTATGACCCCATGGGCTGTAGTCCGCCAGGCTCTTCTCTCCATGGGACTTTCCAGGCAAGAATACTGGAGTGGGTTGCCATTCCCTCCTCCAAGGGATCTTCCCAACCCAGGGATCGAATGTGGGTCTTCTGCATTGCAGGCAGTTTCTTTACCGACTGAGCCACCAGGGAAGCCCACTTAGCTTAATATCCTCAGGGTTCATTCATACTGGAACATGTGACAGAATTTCCCTCCTCTTGAAAGCTGAATGATATTTCATTGTTTGGATATACCACATTTTGTTTACTTATCCATTTATGGACTTTCGGTTTGCTTCCACTTCTTGGCTTATTGTGAAGAGCATTACCATAAACATGGATGTGGAAACATTTTTTTTTTACTCTACTTTCAATTCTTTTGGATTTATACCCAATAGTGGGATTGCTGGATCATGGAATAGTCCTATTTTCAATTTTTTGGAACTCATTTTCTGTAGTGGCTGTACAGTTCCCATTTGGGAAATGGGGACATCTCACCAAGGGTGCACGAGGGTTCCAATATTTCCATATCTTTGACAATACTTATTTTGTGCTATTTTTATAGTTGTCATCCAAATGAGAATGAGGTATTATTTTGTTGCTATTTTGATATGCATTTTGGCTAGTCATTCTTAAGTAATTCTTACGTCCTTTGGTCATTTTCAGCTACAAGGAACAATCTCATTTTATAAATGTGATAGGCAGAGTAACATCCCTTACCCCGGCAAAGATACCCTAACCACTGGAACCCATGGATGTTTTGCTAGCTTATAAGGATGAATGAAGGTTGCAGATGGAATTAAGGTTTCTACAGCCACCCTCCCCCCAACCCCCAGGTTGCCTATGACTTTTCTTGACCTAGAAGAGATGGAAGCTGGGAGGAGATGTATGAGACAGCAAAGATTATCCTTGTCTAAGGCAGATATAGTGTGACCTTTGCATCTTCTGGGTGGGATAGATTTCCAGAGACAATTCTTTCTCTTCTGTAGCACTATGTGGGGTCCTCAATGTTATCCCCTTGAGCCCTTGGGCAGTCCTTATCTCTGGCTGACTGCCTCTCACCCCATCTTCATCTTCTGCAGCCAGTGGTAACCACCATTCTCCTACTGATGAAAGCCCCTCCCCTTAGGTATGAAGCGTTTTAGAACAAGCCTTTCCAACAGTTCCAGGGCCAGATGCTTCCCACAGTTCTCTTGGTTCACTGGAATGTTCTGGCATGCTTTCCCCACTCCCCCTAGAGACAGATGTGCCATTTTCTCTCCACTGCAGAGATAATGTCTTCACTTGGCCACCAGGAAGGCAATTCTAGCCATAGTCTTTGACCTTTCCAAAAACAAAAAATGCTTAAAATACATTAATGTGGCTGATCTTACCTTCTTGAACTTCTTCTAAACAACAGACTGGATTCATTCTACATTTTCTTATGATGGATATTAGAAACTACTTTTCTGTTCTTACTTTTTAAAATGTTTCCCAAGTTCATTTTTAGAATAAGTGTTTATAGAGCATATCTACATATAAGGCAGTGTGTTTATACAGCATATCTATAGTTAAGCCAGAAATGGTTTCATGCCGTGATAATATGGTAACAGTTGCAATAAATGAAATGTTTCTAAGAACTTGGGAATTTTGATAAATTCACATTTTTGTTTCAGTAATTTGTTTTTTAGAGCTATTTGAACATTTCCCCTAAACTCCTATCCTTCCTGACTTTAAATTCAACATAATGGCACCATGTCTATAGGGGAAAGGAACAGTTTACAGGTATTCTCAAATAATGCAAATAACGTCAGCCTCTCCCCCTTCCTCTGGATCTTGCCCAAGCTTAAGTTTCTCAAAGAATTTTCACATTATGGGAAGCATAGCTGCTGATGTCATTCATGACATAAACTATCATCCTTAATATCAGTTTAAATAACTTTCAAATGCAAGTCCAGGAAGTGAAAACCAAAATTATCTTACAAATGAGAAATTCTCAATATTTTCCCCTTCGTTGATCATCTTTTGAGGAAAGCTCAGAAACTGATCAGCTGTTGACCCTTGGAAGAGAAGGAAGATATCAGAAAACGGGGAGGAGGAAGATGTATGCTTGTGTGCTAAGTTGCATTAGTTGTGTCTGACTCTGTGTGATCCTATGGACTGTAGCCTTCCAGGCCCCTCTGTCCATAGGATTCTCCAGGCAAGAATACTGGAGTGGGTTGCTGTGCCCTCCATCTCCTGCATTTGCAGGTGGGTTCTTAACCACTATCGCCACCTGGGAACCCCAAAGAAGACTTAATTTTCACTAAATACCATTTTGAGCCTTTTGAATTCTATACTATACTTTCCCAATGCAAAATATTTAACTTTAAAAAGCAATGATTTACATTTAAAAGTATAAAACAACCATTCTCATGATCAGTGGTACAAGTAGAAGTTACCTTTTGATATTAGAAAACAGAGTTTTAAAAGTTCTGAGGATAAATTGAATTGTGAGTATTAGATTTAGGCCTCACAATTAAGTTAAGCCTGGACAATTTTTTCGTTTTTCTTCCTCTTTCTGTTCTCAGATTGCTTAATATTTCAGCAAAAACAAAGAAACAACTTGGTTTTTGTGGTTTTGTGGGGACAGTTTGTACAAAGGCATGTATTACTGACTGATGAGTCTAGTTTATCATTTGTTGAGATCTGCCATCTCTCAGGCTCTATACTGGGTGCTGGGAGACAAAGGTAAGAGACTTGCGCCTGCCCTGAAGGAGAACTGCACAAGCAAAAGAGAAGGTGGTGCTTTGAAGTCTCAGAGCTATTCTCAGAGGAAGAAGGAAAACTTAGAATGAATACCCAGAGGACGAAAGAAGAACTGGAAGCCAAAATGGAGTCCAGACATGATTCAGAAACCGCTAGGATCTGAAACCAAGGGCGGCCTAAGGATGTAGAGTGTAGTCAAAACAATCAGTAAAATGGAGCTCTTTTCTACAAGCCAGCTGTCCACACCCAAAGCAAAGTGGAGAACCAAGGCCCCAATTTCCCAAGCAACAGGTCCAGCTCTCAACAGTGATGAAATGATCACCCTGAGTCAAGTCGTGTGTATGGGAATTTAAAGGGGTGGTCCTGAGCTCCTACGCTCCTGTAAGACCTTTATAAGCCTCAGTTTTTCTCATTTGTAAATCAGGAATAATAATCTCTACATTATAAAATTGTTGGGAGGACTTGACATAGTGTATATAAAAGAGCTTACATAATAATATCAGGAGCATAAGAATTATTCAATACATGGCATCTGTTGTCCTTGTTGTTTTGTTACCTGAAAATATAAATATCATAATGGTGGATCCCATGATTTGGATCATTCAATCCTCATTTATACACCTTTCAGGGTGCCTTTCTGTACTACCAATTCTGTGAAACTAGAAACTACATTTCCCAGACTCCTTTGTTCTTAGAGTCTGGGTGCCTGTTAAATTCTACCAGCTATAGCCAATCACATGAGATTTGGAAGATGGAGGAGGTGGAGGCCGTCTTCCTGTTGCTGTTTCTCCCCCAGACAAAGTCACACAGTCATGAGTAACATGAGGAGACAGGGTGAAGGGGGGCAGGCAGTGGTAGAAGCACCTGCCTGACCTCCAGGTTACAGCTGCATTGGTTTGCTCCTGACATCCACAAATGCTGTCCCCTGATTTCCACTCCCTAGCCCTTTTCAGTGATTTGTATGCATCCAATTCCTGTATTAAATCTTTATGGGGCAATATACTTATGGTAATGATTCCTGTTTCTAGGACTGACTCCTGACTGATTCAGAAATGGGTGTTTTATCTAAAGAAATATCATATGGAGACTTCTGTGAAAGAAGTTATTTCATACTATGGCCCCAAACTTACTTAGACTTAAATTATGAGTTCCCATGTTTAAACCAGTTCAGTGATCTCTTTATTGATGCCATTCTCTTTGACATAATACAGTTAAAGTTTCCTGGGATCCAGAACAGATAACTTTGTGTCTATATATCATTTCAAAAGGTAGAGTATATTTTTGTGATGATCATAATCTATCCATTGTCTTTCTTTGTATTTTATTTGGTCAAGAGAAAAATGGTCCCTGAAATAATATTTCCTCCTATTTATTTTCTTAGTATTAAGAAACCTAACTTTTAACAGAACACTACTACACTACTACTCTCCCTTAAAGCTAGGTTGTAGCCAAATGACTAAAATTTAGCCAGTTAGATGTAAGAAAAAATGTTTTGTAACGTCTGAAAAGTGTCTTTAGAAGGAAGGTACAGAGACTTCTTTGTCCCTTCCTCCTTCCTGTTGGCTGGAGTGTGAATGTGATGACAGGAGCACTAACAGCCATCCTGGGTCATGAGGTAGTAGAAGGTCATGGCAGAGTAGAAGGGAATCACCTCTGTGGCCTACAGAGTTACCACTAGGCCTGGATTGTGTAGCTCCAGATTTCTTTTACATAAGAAAAAAAATCAACCTCTAACTTTTTAAAGTCACTCTCATTTTGTTACTGACATGTAGCCAAACCTACCCCTACTTAATATAAGTGAAACAGCCAAACCTCTCTCCCTATCAACCATGGTCTGTTTCTTAGTTTCTAACAACAAGTGCATTCACAAAAAAACTGCTCAACTCCTGATACACACCAAGGCATGTTACCCAAAATACTAATCTGGGTATAGAATTAAAGACTTAAAATGATTTCTCTGAGTCCAATTCAGTGGACACAGTAGTCAAAGTTTGTAAGTCAGATGGATAAATTTGATTTACTCATATTACTCTCAAAATCAAATCAAGGCATCAATTTTAGGTTGAGAGAACAGCAAATGCTCAACCCTAACTGGTGGTCCATTAGGACTAGTGTTATTGATTCAAAATGGCTGAATTTTTATTTAAACTGACACTCTGCTAGTCACACCACAGTGACCACACCACAGTTGACAGCACATCCAGTAGTATAATCTGCTTTGCAACTCTCTATTCCAGAGCCCATAGATCAGAGGGTTAAAACACTGAGCAAAGGCAAAGACTCCAAAAAGCACCAGATTTAAAGCAAAGAAAAACACTCCACACATCTTTCCCAAACCAATGAATAACAGAGTTGGTATTACGTGCAGGCCCAATTGCACTAAATGAATAAGGACGGTTTTCCTTGCTTTGATATTTGACCTATTAAAGTGGCCAGCCCGTTTCCCTTCTTTGTATATCAGGGAGTAACTTACAAGAATGATAGACAGAAGAAGGAAAAGGAAAACCATGCCAATGGCTCTAGCAGGAATGCCATTCAAGACCACCGGGCAAAGGGGCTCAGATTTTAAAAGAGCAATCTGCGTAGGGCCAGTGCCCTCTATGAGGAAGAGGCAAGCATTCTTCAGTATAATAATGAGCCAAGTCCCGGACAGAATCTTATACTTAACGGAATCTACAAAGGACACAGATGTCAAGGGCCAGCAGACCACCAGGTATGTGTGGGCAGCCATCAAGGCCAGCGTGAAGAGGATCCCTTCTCCAACACTCAGCTGTACCCCGAACACCACCCAGCATACCAGGACAGGGCTGTCGGCCAGGAAGGCTCGCATCCCTTGGAAAACCACCCCCAGGCCGCAGTAGGAGGAGATGCACAGCAGGTGGTGACAGAGAAGGATGTATCGAACCTCTTTCCTCAGTTTTGAATTCTGTGAGACGATGGCGATAATGATGACTGTGATAAATGTGGCGAAGGAGAAAGCCACCACGTACACGGAGGCCTTCACAGTTGCTTCCAGCCTCAGCCAATCTGACATGTTGCAGTGTTCAGAAGACAAGTTCATGGTCTTCGGGGCAACCTGGCTCCTGCAGGAGAAAAGAATAAGAAAGAATGAATCTGTGTTCAAGTTTCTTGTGTGGTTTTCTGACTCTCTGACCTTGCGTACAGTCCCAAGGAACAGGCTGCCCATTTCTCGCTATAGGCGATGACAACTTTTAAGAGCATCGACACGGACCAAAGAAAGAAGTCACCTGCTGTCTCACTTCCTCCAGACCTCCCTCTCCTCCATCAAAGTTGATTGGACTGGGAGTGATGGAGTATCTGTCTCAGGGAAAGTTGTTCTGCAAACTATGCTGAATCCATCAGAGTCTGTCTCTTAAAAATCCAACCCAAGGATTCTCAGAGAATGTAGGCCGAGTGTGATATCGTGCAATTGACCTGTCACTCATGTTGGAGTGTAGACAAGAGGAAGAGAGAGACAGAGAGAGGTTGGAGAGGAGCAAAGTGGAACCACAAAAGTCCATGCGAGACAGAGAGCAACCTGGGTTTCTGATTCCACTAAGATGCCTTACATTTTCTGCCTTGGGTTCTAAAAATATCACACACCCCTGGATTATTTGAGCTAGCTTAAATAGGTTTCTATTCCTTCATTCTGGCTCCTAGAGAGCAAAATATATAAAATGGACCCTGAAGAGGCACAGTAAATGCCTGTAGTTTCCTAAAGGGCAAGTCACAATGGAGATAATGGCAAGTCACAGCTAGGCGACTTCCTGAGAATTGCCAGTGCTGAAGCTCCTCATGAAATCCCTTGCTGAAGGCGTAAGTTTTTTCATACATACTGTGTTGCCTTTGTTTGTGGAGAATTTGCCCTGTTCTGATGGATTTCTGTGCCTTTGTCACGCTGTTGAACTCCAGGCTTTTATTCTCTGGATTCTCCAGCTCTTCAGAGAGGACTAGAAATTGTAATGGTCATTGTCAGGCTTTCTTTTAGCTGCAGATTTTTCCATCAAAATCCTTACCCTAGAACCTGTCAATAATAAACTGGAAAATGCACACCTGCCTGTATTAAATCCCTCCTTCTTAATCCCTCGCTCCCAGAACACACAGCACCACCAGAGAAACGGAGAGCCCCCAGAGCGGCTGTGTGAAGACCCCGGAGAGGGCCCACTCCACCCCTAGCCCGGGGGAATCACATGAACTGAGCTCTAAGCCGAGATTTGCTGCCAGTGAGGAGTATGATTTTGGATGCTGAACTCACTTTACTTCTCTGGTCCTGGGTTCCATAAATCATATCCAGGCAGCATCACCAAGCTCCACATCCTTTCTCTACAGTCACAGAGTCAACCTCACGCACATCCTCAAGGGCACTGGAGCATCTGAGCTTGTACCTTACTCTTGAGAACAAGACTGCCCCACCTCTACCCCTAGAACATCCTCATCTTACTCCCCATCTCACTAACTTGAATAGAAACCCTGGCTGTCTAGGACAGGCCTGCCTTGCCTTGCCAGGCTCCCTCTCAAGACCTGAGACCCAACCTCTGATCCCTTTAGGGGGAGTAAAGTCTTGCTGAGAGGACTACGGACAGACTAAAGCCAGGTCTAGATTTCAAGGGCCTTGATACCACTTTAAGAGCTCAGATTCATTTTGTAGGCAATAAGGAGGCTTGCATGATTAAAATTAAGAGCAGCACTTGCCCCAAGTTGGAAGCCAATAAGATATGCCCACTTCTGCTTACAGAGTGATATTTGATAGGAACTCTAAAGAGCCTCTTGATGAAAGTGAAAGAGGAGAGTGAAAAAGTTGGCTTAAAGCTCAACATTCAGAAAACTAAGATCATGGCATCCGGTCCCATCACTTCACAGCAAATAGACGGGGAAAGACTGGAAACAATAACTGACTTAATTTTGGGGGCTCCAAAATCACTGCAGATGGTGACTGCAGCCATGAAATTAAAAGATGCTTACTCCTTGGAAGGAAAATTATGACCAAACTAGACAGTGTATTAAAAAGCAGAGACATTACTTTGTCAACAAATGTCCGTCTAGTCAAGGCTATGGTTTTTCCAGTGGTCGTGTGGATGTGAGAGTTGGACTATAAAGAAAGCTGAGCGCAGAAGAATTGATGCTTTTAAACTGTGGTTTGGAGAAGACTCTTGAGAGTCCCTTGGACTGCAAGGAGATCCAACCAGTCCATCCTAAAGGAGATCAGTCTTGGGGGTTCATTGGATGGACTGATGTTGAAGCTGAAATTCCAATACTTTGGCCACCCGATGTGAAGAGTTGACTCATTTGAAAAGACCCTGATGCTGAGAAAGATTGAGGGCAGGAGAAGAAGGGGATGACAGAGGATGAGATGGTTGGATGGCATCACCGACTCAATGGACATGAGTTTGGGAAAACTCTGGGAGTTGGTGATGGACAGGGAGGCCTGGCATGCTGTGTTCATGGGATCGCAAAGAGTCGGACACAACTGAGCGGCTGAACTGAACTGACTGAACTGCTGAGCAGGGGGCTTCCCTGGTGGTTCAGACAGTATAGAATCTGTCTGCAATGAATGAGACCTGGGCTCGATCCCTGGATTGGGAAGATCCCCTGGAGAAGGAAATAGCAACCCACTCCAGTATTCCTGCCTGGAGAATTCCCATGAACTTGGCAGTCTACAGTCCATGGAGTTGCAAAGAGTTGGACATGACTGAGTGGCTAACACTCACTAACACTCACTTACTCTGCAGAGCAGGCAACTTGCAAGGCAGAAATGTGCTTAATGAAGGCAGTACAACCATACCAAAGGGCTTTGAATACTCTTTTAAACACATGAAATCTCCAGGAGGGCTGCAACTCTGCAAAGTCAGAAAAGGCAATAATATTGGTTTTAATTTATTTATGAGACTTCAAGAAGATCAGCAATATATTCAGGATCATGCAGCCAGAAAGAATCTCCCAGTCTTCAGATTCATATTTCCTTCTCGGAGGTATATTTGCATATCAAGAACCCACAGCTACCAAACCCATATAATCAGCCCTCATCTCTACATACAACCTCCACTTAATGACAGTTCTTAAAGTCCTTTCCTTCTGGAGTTCTAAAATGGGGAATAACTGTTTCCTTCTAGCCCAAAATGCTACTTTGGCTTCAGTTTTGAAATAAGACACTGAAGCTAAGAGACTTCGGCAAAGAATTACGTTATATCCAAGCTGTCCTGAAAAAAAAAAAAATCAGAATTAGCCATCACCCCTCCCTACCCAAATCCTATAGGAAACAGATGTGTGCGAGGGCTGGAGTGGGTCCATACAGAAGCAGCAAAGCACCTGGGTCTCGTCCTAAAAGCCCTGCTCAGGACCAACCCCTGAGAGCAACATGCCGCCCTCAGTGAGAGACTGAATCCACAAACACATGTAGTCAGACCATATACAAAAACACAGCTCTCACCTACCACCTGCAGCACCCTGCCCCCAAACCAAGCCCTTATCTACGGTAACTGGCCAGGGAAGGCAGCCTGCCTATGACACGTCAGACTTGGGGAAAGTTGGATGGTTGTCTCTGACAATACAGGAAGCCAACCAGCAACTTCTATGAAATCCAAACAGCCAGCCTTGGTTAACAGCTGCCAACTTCTCTAATTTTTGTCCCTGCTTCCAACTTGGGACCAAGCAGAAGCCAAATATGCACCCCTAACTGATCACATGGGGCTTCCCTGGTAGTTCAGTAGTAAAGACTCTGCCTGCTAATGCAGGAGAAGTGGGTTCAATCCCCGGGTTGGGAAGATCCCCTGGGCTAGGAAATGGCAACCCACTCCAGTATCTTTGCCTGAGAAATCTCAAGGACAGAGGAGCCTGGCGGGCTACAGTCCGTGGGGTCACAAAGAGTCGGACGTGACTGCGTGACTATAAACGACAACAATAACAACCGATCACATAGGATGCCCCACTTCCCATTGGCCACCTCCCGCTTCCCTAGGCCCACAGTCCCCCCATCAGGTACTGAAACCCTCCCTTCTTTCCATCAGAGAGCTTTCCCACTCCTCTGCCTGCCTGTGGTTCTCCGCCAAAACACGGGTGACGGTGGCATCGAGAAGCCGGAACTTACTTTCAGGAAGCTGAGGACAGTTTCTCTTGGGTCCAGCTAGACTCCCCTCCCCGCCCAACCCAGAACCTGCGTCTGGGAATTCCTAAAGGAGGAGAAGTCTCCGCTCTCTGAGACGGAGACAGCCTTTCCTTCCTGGGTGCCCACTGTCAGTCAGGCAGCGTCTGCCAAGACTAGGGCCAGTGTCAGACTTATGCCAAGGAGAAGGCCGCATGAGCTGAAAACAAACTTCAGAAATGATCTCAGCAGCGAATGGCTGCTGACAGAAGGCCAGTGAGAAAAAAGTGGATGCTTCCAGAATGGCCCCAAAAACCTTCCCAAATGAGACCTCCTTTCCCACAGTAAACCTGCGACCTTCTCTTTAAACATGTCTTCCCCTTTGCTCTAATTGCAGCCTTACTTCTTTGGTACTTTAAAAATCACTTCCGTCTGTGAAGCTTCTGTGATCGCCTCTGTTTTTCTTCTCTAAGTGGGCAGGAAGGAAGGGAGGGAGCCCGTATTTACTGAACACCGGGCCCTTGACACCGAGAGTAAGCACTTAGTATTAGCTGTGAGTGTCCACCATCTGGTAATGGCTCCCAGAGGTGACATGGGGAACTGCGTGAAGTCACAAAGCCATGAAGGTGTATTTTGTGACTTCTAAAGACAGGAGAATCACATATTTTTCTAGTGAGTGCTTTCCCACACAGTTAACTTTTGTTAGCCTGCACCCCCCCCAAACTTTTTTTCTTTAATAAAAAAGGAAATCCTCCAGCTTCCTTCCCCAATTTTTTTCTGATTAAAGCTTTGATCTACAGATATTCTTCTAAGCACTGCTAAGATTCCTTAATCTAGAGACCTTGCTTTAATAGAAACATGACCTTTCCCTAATGCTCAAAAACACTTCTTAAAAAGTGACATGCACCACACACCTACTGTCAATTAATCTTTGACAAAGGAGGCAAGAGAAAAGACAGTTTCTTGGGCAAGTGACTTTGGGAACACTGAATAGCTGCATGTAAATCAATGAAAGTAGAAAACTCCTTCACACCATACACAAGGTGGCTTGCAGACTTAAATATAAGTAATGACACCATAAAACCTCTAGAAGAGTCATAGCAATACTTTCTTAGGCTGCTCTCCCAAAGCAAAAGAAATAAAAGCAAAAATAAGCAAATGAGGGAATTTCATGGGGGTCCAATGCTTAGGACTCCAAACTTCCACAGCAGAGGGCATGAGATGATCCCTGGTAAGGGAACTAAAATCCTACAAACTGCACTGCACAGCCTCCCCTCCAAATTTAAAAGAAATAATAATAAAATAATGACACAATCAAACTTACATGCTTTTGCCAGCAGAGAAAACCATAAATAAAACAAAAAGACAACCTATGAACTGGGAGAAAGTATTTGCAAACCATGTGACAGATAAGGGCTTAATTTCCAAAATATACAAACATCATACAGCTCAGTATAAAACAAACAAGCCAATCAAAAATGAGCAGAAGAACTAAACAGACATTTTTTTCAAAGACACACAGATGGTCAACAGGTACATGAAAAGATGCTCAGCATCACTAATTATGAAAGAAATGCAAATCAAAACCACAATGATTTGCCTCACACGGGTCAGAACAGCCATCATCAAAAAGTCTACACATAACAAATTCTGGAAAGGATGTGAAGAGAAGGATTGCAAACTGGTGCAGGCACTGTGGAGAACAGTATGGTGCTGGTTTAGTCGCTAAGTCATGACTGACTCTTGCAATCCCATGGACTGAAGCCCACCAGGCTCCTCCGTCCATGGGATTCTCCAGGCAAGAATACTGGAGTGGGTTGCCATTTCCTTCTCCAGGGGCTCTTACTGACCCAGGAATCAAACCCGGGCCTCCTGCATTGCAGGTGGATTCTTCATCAACTGAGCTATGAGGGAAGCCTGGAGAACACTATGCTGCTGCTGCTCCTAAGTCGCTTCAGTCGTGTCTGACTCTGTGTGACCCCATAGACGGCAGCCCATCAGGATCCTCTGTCCCTGGGATTCTCCAGGCAAGAACATTGGAGTGGGTTGCCATTTCCTTCTCCAATGCATGCATGCATGCAAAGTCGCTTCAGTCGTGTCCGACTCTGTGCGACGCCATAGACTCCTCTGTCCATGGGAGTCTCTAGGCAAGAGTACTGGAGTGGGTTGCCATTTCCTTCTCCAGGGACAACACTATGGAGGTTCCTTAAAAATCTAGAGTTGTCATATGATCCAGCAATCCCCCTCCTGAGCATATATCTGGAAAATGCTTACTATAATGCAAAATAATATTAATCCATGTATCCAATGCTCACTAAAGCACTATTTACAGTAGCCTAGACATGGGTGCAACATAATGTCCAGTGACAGATGAATGGATAAAGAAGATGTGGTATATATCTACAAGGGTATATTAGTCATCCATAAAAAATAATGAAATCCTGCCATTTGTGGCAACATGGGTGGACCTAGAGATTATCATGTTAAGTGAAGTAAGGCAGAGAAAAACAAATATCATACGGTATTCCTTCTAGGTAGAATCTAAAAAGAAATGATACAAACAAACTTATTTATAAAACATAAACAGATTCACAGACATAGGAGACAAACTTGTGCTTACCCAAGGGGAGACCAAAGGAAGGGAATAAATCAGGAGCTTGGGATTGACAGATACACACCGCTCTATATAATATAGGTAAGGCACAAGCACCTAGTGAATAGCACAGGGACCTGTATTCAATATCTTATAATAGACTATAATGGAAAAACATTTGAAAAGGTAAACACACACACAGACACATATACATATATAACTGAATCACTCTGCTGGTCATCTGGAACTAACACAACATTGTAAATCTACTCTACTTTAATAATAATAAAAAAATTTTGCACTTACATCTTTATTGAATACCTTGAGATTTTGAAACACCAGGCAACCCATTCACAAGGGCAGGTTGAAACAAATCTCCAGACCTGGAATATAAACAAATACTCAAGAAGTATTGGAAAGAAGGTTGCTCATAAAAATGCTGATGAATCTCTTTAATTTTACAACTCAGATATTGATAGATGTGTGTATCCAACTTATTACAGCAATGGTGATATCTGTGTGAACAAAGAGGACACAAATTAATGACAGGTCTCACTGTGCTATGTACGTCCATGTACTATGAAAACAGAAATAAAGCATAGAGGTCATTCCAGAATTTCAGAAAAAGATTATGCAATGCTAACTATAATGGTATCATATGAAAATAGCATTTTCATAAATCGTAGAAACTTAAGTAATGAATGTATATGAAATTAAAATACACTGGTTAAAATAAAACAGGCATTCGATTCTACTTGGATGGAGCTCTCTGCATTGACATGGGACTAGCCAAGGAACAAAACTGGTAGAGATGAACAGTTCCTCAATAGGTTGGTGAATTCCAATTGCCTACGTGCATAGATCAAGAGCTGCAGATATTCAGAAACATACACAGGTCAAGGCTCTGGGATTAGGGTATTTACACAATCCTGAATCTTCTGGCAGGTAGTAAATAATTGGCCTTTCTCCTTTCCTGCCTGTTTCTCCGGATGCCAAAGGTCAATACTATGTCTATAAACCACAAAAAGCAAGCAGCAATCTAAATACTGCTGAGAAAATGATTCTCAATACTACTTCTCAGAATCTAAAAGGATTTTTGTCCTTGGTCTATCAGTTTCTATTAATAACACAAGTTCACCTTGCAGCATTCACTTTTGAAATATGCTAAAGCTATCTTTTTGATTTTTTTAAACTAATTTATTTATTTTAATTGGAGGCTAATTACTTTACAATATTGTGGTGATTTTATTGTTACATTGTTGCAATTATTAAGCTAGATGCAAGTTAACTTACCTGTATATGACTTTACCATTATTAAAGCTTATAAAATAACATACAACAGCCACAATGGTGAATTTTGTGTTTGCTAGCAGTCAGCCTTCCACTCCATAGTCTATGGTATCCTTTCTTTGCACAGTTAATGATAATTGCCCCATCCTAAGCAATAAATACACTCTTTCTGTCTCAGACGACCACACCTGGCTTTAGCAGGGAACTAGATGTTTTATCAGTACAATCTTGGCAAAGTTGCAATCAGCAGCTTTAATGAAATGCTTTGGTTTTCTCTCTCTGATTTGGCCTTGGGGATGATCATAAACTTTCTGTCAGATTGGATTTCACTACCCCAAATTAAAGTACAATTGAATTTTAACTAGTCTTACTAAGCTTTTTTTTTGTATGGTGTGATTGGTTTTATGGAAAAAGAACTCCTTAGGTTTTGAAATCTACATATAATAAACATTATTGGGTTAAAGTAGTTCTTATTTAAAAAAAAAATATTTAAGGCATGTGAGATCTTACTTCCTTGATCAGGGACTGAACCTGTGCCCCCTGCAGTGGAAGCTTGGAGCCTTAACTACTGGATCAGCTGGGAAGTCCCAGTATTCTTATCTTTATCAGATATCTTTGCGCCATTCATATTATACATGTCACTCAAAATCAACTCTCTAGACCTGAAAACTGTATTAAGATTTTAAACAAATCTAAAAATTAAAAGTGAAAATTCATGGAATGTCTTAATTGTTTCCCTGTTCTGAGAACTTGGTATCATTTATGAGAAAGATGGCAAAAACATGGATGTTTCAAATATTTTACATTGAAGAATATATATGAAACCACAAACCTTTAAAATAAAGACAGGTGAGTTCCCTTCTCCTTTTCCCAAAAGGAGGGTCTAGAGAAGGTAGTCTTTCTTCTCTTGCATGAAAAGTCAGGGTGGGAGATGTTGAGATGAATCCCCAGCAGTACAGACATGGGGCTAGCAGGGAAAACCTCCTAGAAAAAGTAAGGGCATCAAAACCTTTAATAAGCCTGTTTGAGAAAAACAAAAAGCTGTAAAGAATCCTTCAATATGTGTGTGCATGCTAAGTCACTTTAGTCATGTCCAACTCTTTGCAACCCTATGGACCATAGCCCACCAGACTCCTCTGTCCATGGAATTCTCCAGGCAAGGATACTGGAATGGGTTTCCATGTCATGCCCTCCTTCAGGGGATCTTCCCAAACCAGGGATCAAACCCATGTCTCCTGCATCTCCTGCATTGGCAGGTGGGTCTTTATCATTAGTGCCACCTGTGAAGCCCAAAGAAGGCCTCTAGAAATTGCTAAAAAAACAAATAAACAAACAAAAACAGGCTGGCACTGTGGAGAGGAGTTGAGGGCAAACCTGATAAAGACAAACTTATAGATGATACAGAGGAAGAATGAGTCAGAAAAGTATCTGGTTTAGGAAACACATGAAGGGTACAGTTAGCTAGATCTAGATACTGGCCAGCTTTAGAGTTTGGCTCAAATAAGAGGCTTTCCACATCCATGGGCTCCAGGAACCTATCCATGGGGTCCTCGTGCATGTGTGCTGCTGTGGCAAATTCTGCCAAAGCATCAGGTTCCATCACCATTTCCTGGTTATTGCCAATTTTACCCTACTTGAGTATTTACCTTGTTTCAGACTGTCAGCCTGCCCTGCGCACAATGTGTCTGCCACTTAACTTAGGTCTTGACTTTCTAGATTCCTGGTCTCAGAACAATGGATATTATTTCTGGATAATCCAGGACTGATGCCCACATGTGACCACTTGCTTTTTTCAGAGTTACCAGTGATGCCATGTAAATCCCCACCTGGTCCCCAAGGAAATGTGACCTGGTCAGAAGGCAAATGTGCCTACAGGAAGAAGTGCAGTCTCCAGATCGGAGGATCATAGGTGATAATAGAGATGAGCCAAAATGACTTACAAATAGATGAGAAAAGAAGAGGAGCTAATGGCAAAGGAGAAAAGCAAAGATATAGCCATTTGAATGCAGAGTTCCAAAGGGTAGCAAGGAGAGATAAGAAAGCCTTCCTCAGGGATCAATGCAAAGAAATAGAGGAAACCAATAGAATGGGAAAGACTAGCGATCTCTTCAAGAAAATTAGAGATACCAAGGGAACATTTCATGCAAAGATGGGCACCATAAAGGACAGAAATGGTAGGGACCTAACAGAAGCAGGAGATATTAAGAAGAGGTGGCAAGAATACACAGAAGAACTATACAAAAAAGATCTTCATGACCCAGATAACAATGATGGTGTGATCACTCACCTAGAACCATACATCCTGGAATGCTAAGTCAAGTGAACCTTAGGAACCATCACTACGAACAAAGCTAGTGGAGGTGATGGAATTCCAGTTGAGCTATTTCAAATCCTAAAAGATGATGCTTGAAAGTGCTGTACTCAATATGCCAGCAAATTTGGAAAACTCAGCAGTGGTCACAGGACTGGAAAAGGTCATCCAATCCCAAAGAAAGGCAATGCCAAAGAATGTTCAAACTACCACACAATTGCACTCATCTCACATGATAGCAAAGTAATGCTCAAAATTCTCCAAGCCAGGCTTCAACAGTACGTGAACTGTGAACTTCCATATGTTCAAGCTGGATTTAGAAAAGGCATAGGAACCAGAGATCAAATTGCCAACATCCACTGGATCATCAAAAAAGCAAAAGAGTTCCAGAAAAACATCTACTTCTGCTTTATTGACTTTGCCAAAGCCTTTGACTGTGTGGATCACAACAAGCTGTGGAAATTCTAAGACACAGAGATGGCTTGCTGATAAGATTAAGGTGTCTCTTTGTATAACACCAGGAGGTGACTAATTTGATCCTGGTAATGTAAACCATGAAAACCAGTCAGCATATTTGTGGGTTCAGCAGAGAGGATATTGTTATAACAGCTGAAAATAGATAACGTAAACCATGGAAACCATTCAGTGTATTACAGTATCCTCAGCAGAGAGGACACTGTAATAACAGCTGAAAATAAAGGGATGCCTGGGGCTTCCCTGGTGATGCAGTAGCTAAGACTCCGTGCTCCCAATGCAGGGTGACCAGGTTCGATGCCCGGTTGAGGAACTAGATCCCATACACCGCAACTGAGAGTTGCATGCCACAACTAAGACCTGGAGCAACCAAATGAATAAAAATAAATATTTTTGAAAAAGAAGAAGAAGGATACTTGTTCCCTGGGAAGCAACAAAAAGCAAAGGCCAAGAGCAAACAAGCAAAGGGGCCTTGATTAATGTAATATCTGGATTCACTCAACGTACCTCCCACAAGCTGAGATATTCACAAGGCTACCACAGTATTATCGTTTCCGTAGTGTAGAGGTTATGTTTCCGTAGTGTAGTGGTTATCACGTTCGCCTGACACAGTATTATCACTGTATTCAGTGAGTATCTACCATGTGCCAGAGTATTATGTAAAATGTTTATAGTTAGCTATCTGGAAAAATAAGACAGAATTGCAGGGCAATTAAGCTTGTGAGCCACAACTTCTGAGACTGTACTCTAGGGCCTGTGAACCTCAACTACTGAAGCTAATGTGCGTAGAGCCCATGCTCTGAAAAAAAAAGAAGCCACCACAATGAGAAGCCTCTGTACCACAAGGAAAAGTAGCCCCCGCTCGGTGCAACTAGAGAAAGCCCGTGTGCAGTGATAAACACCCATTGCAACCAAAATTAGTAAATAAATAAGTAAAATTAATTTTAAAAGAAAAGAAAACAACATCCCATTTTAAAAAATAAAAATAAGACAGAATCCCTATGTTTGTGGAGCTCACAGTCTTTTAAGGAAAACAGATACATAAGCAAATAGTTTTAATACTATGAGTTAAGAGCTTGAATTCAAAGTGTCATGGAAACCCAGAGGAGGGAGTCTAATCTTCCCAGAAGCATCAAGGAAAATTCTCATAGGCAGCATCCCTAGAAATTAATAAAGATTCATCTATTCAACTAGCTGGCCTTCCATTTATTCATCATGGATGTGTTGAGTACTTCTGATCCTTCTAGATGCTGTGCGTACAATACTGAACAAGACAAACAAGGTTCCTCCTTGAGTGGCACTTATTTAATCCATTCCTGTGGGAGGGAGTAGATGACATTACCAGGAGAAACACAGAATGTTCCCTTCAGACCACCCAATATCCACCCTCTGGCCTCACTGCCTCTCCCACATGTATTTTCCGAATGAGACCAGAGTGCCTTGGCCTCTCAAACGGGAGCATTTTGATCCTTTTGGTAAGTACAGCTCTCACTGTGACACCGAATTGCCAGTTCATTTCTTCCTATCGCAGTGAGAATACTTTCAGAAGTGCCGGATCAGATAAAATCAAGTTTCTGAAAATGCAGAGCTGAGAATCAATTTCAAGCAGAAATAGAAGTGAGTCATGGGATGCCCAGGCTGCCATGAGATTTCCTTACCTTCTTTCTCCAGTGGAAGTCTCTTCTGCCAGTGGAAAAAGTTCTCTTTTCTAGGATAAAGTATGTGGAAGAGCAGCAGGAGTTTCTTCATGAATTGTGGGAAGAACTCCTGATACCCAGCATCTAACAGAAAGGAAGCCAAGGACGTACTCCACTTTGATTTCTCCCTGCTCCCCGAGTCTTCAGACCTGGGGCCCCTCCTGTGGTGCCTATAGCCAGTGTCACACTGTGATTCAGGGTGCTGAGAATGCTGGGGACTCTCGAGGGTGGCCACTTCCTAAAGAAACACTCAGCACCCTCTGTCCAAGAAGGAAGTGGGGGAACAGGGCCAGCTCCTCCCCTTCTGCCCACAGAGGCTCCGCTGCAAAGAGACACACGTGCTCTGTACCCCATATGGTATTGGGACCCCCTTCATAGTGTTTAAAGGTGACAAGTGAAAATGTCTCTAGAGAAAGCCAAAATGTTTCCCACCCTAACATTAGGGGAAAATTCTAACCACTGGAACCGGTGGTTTCAAACCAGACTAACCTTCAAAGATCTCAGATTACGCCTTTAGAAATGACCACAATTTCATAACAGAGGCAAGAGAAAGACAGTTAGAAACTTCTGCAAAGCACAGTTGGTATCACTGTGAAAACTCATAGTTTCTGTTTGCCAACACGTCTGCTTTAATCTCTCAAGCAATTAATTGCATCGCAAGTGTTACGTGTCAACTTTTCCTTATATTTAGAGTTTTCATTTGTAAAATTTATTCAAATCATGCATGCTTGTTGTCAAAAATGAAAAATGTAGACAAACCTAAAAAGCAAGGTTAATTCTCCATAGTCCTGCCACTTGAAGATAACCTCCGTTGGCACTTTGGTGTATATCCTTCCAGACATTTTTCTGTGTTTAGGTGGATCTTGGTGTGAGCTTCTCAACACCCACTCCATGCCGCACCATTGTGGAACATTCACACAGTTTTCTTGGGATTTGCCCACTCTCAGCCCCTGTGTAGATCCTGATTTGACTAAATGAAATTACCATCTTCTCGTGCGCTTGCCACAGTGTTTTAAGGACCAGCATCTAACCCAGACCTAAGTCATCAATACAAAGCTCTTCCCTGACCACAAGGAAAGTCACGTGATCTAGATGATCCAATTAGAGGGAAGCCTAGGACTCTCGCTAAAGGGCGGGGCCGAGGTAGGGGAGACACTCACTCCCTCCTTCTCTGGGTTTGGACTCAGAGACCTGGGAGCTATTGGCAGCCATCTTGCCTCCGCAAGACAAACCAGCTCTCAGTGAAGTAGATGCTTCACAGGTTAAAAAAGAGAGAGAAAAAGAAGTTAGGTTTTCAAAGAGCTTTCCGAGCTGCTAAGTTAAGCTAACACCCAAATCTGTCTTACTTCTGGAGTCACTAGTTAGATGAACCAATAAATTTGCTTGTTGAAATCAGCTTAAATCGAATTTTCTGTGACTTGTAACTGAGTGTATCCATCTCAATATTTTTATAAAAGTGAGGCCATATTGAACATACTATTTATAACTTCCTATTTAAAAATAAGTCATAATCATCATTCATTTTCAAGATAAATATACTTTTACAAAATTATTAATTGCTTCAGAATAACCTGTTGTATGGACAGATATTAAATTAAATATCTAATCCCTTATTGTGAGGTATTTATGTCATTTCCAGGTTTTTCCATGTTATATAAACAATTCTGTGTTGAGTCTCCTAAATATTAGAAAACACAGTTATTTCCCCAGGACATGTTTTAATGTAGAATTTCTGAGTCTGTCCTTTTTGAAAGATTTTTGATTCATATTGCCAGATGGCTCTCCCAAAAGGTTATTTTATTTATATTTCAACCAACAGAGCAGAGAATGCCAAAAAAACTCCCTCACTTCTCCCAGCCCAGAACATTCAACATACATAAAGTTTCAACACAAAGACTCCGTGTGATAAATGGTAATCCATTGCTGTTTTAATTTGCATTTTTAAAAACCATATACAGTGCTTAGAGGATTTTTCCCATATATTTATTTGCTTATAGTATTTCTCCTTTTCTGAGTTGTCACCGATATCCTTTGCCCATTTCAACTAGAGCATTTGTTTATTTCTTCCATATGTGTAGGAGCTATTAATATATTGAGTTTACTAAGCATTGACCTATTATATATGTTGCAAATAGTTTTCACGGCACACCATGTGCCTTTTCACTTGCATATGGTATTTTTGACGGTTCTGAAGTTTTAAATTTTAGTTTATCAATCCTCCCCTTTACTGTTTCTGCCCTTTTTGTGTCATTCTTTAATCAGAGAACTTGCAGTCCTCCAGCCTCAGCCTCTGCTCGTAAAAATGATCTTGGCATAACCACACTGATGCTCAGGGTGCCTGAGATTCTGTCCCCTTAGGAGGCAGCTGGGATGCTGTCTGCATCCCTCCACCCCTGACTGCTTCTTCCTGCCTCCCTCACAGATGTGGTTTGTGATTAAAGTACAGCCAACAGCGTGAGAGCTGATGTGGTGTACGCAACTTCAAGGTTGTTCTCCTTAGAAAGGGAAATGTGTTCTCCTTAGATTTTCACTTCTTGCTTAGGTTGGAGTGAATAAGTGACAGTAATCATACAGATGAGTACAATACCTAGGAAGTTCAGAACTACAAGCCAGGAGGCTTCAGGGTCTCCGACACTGGGGAATGTCCATATCTCCTAGACTATTAATACTTAAAACACGACTGTTTTGTAAATGAGAAATTGAACTTCTGTTAGGTGTGAGCCACTGTTTTGGGTCTTTATTACAGTCAAACCCATATTCTAAATTAAATGGTAACTCATGACCCCATTTTACACACATACAAACACAGACTCAATGAACGTGAATTTGAGTTAACTCCAGGAGATGGTGAAGGACAGGGAAGCCTGGCGTGCTGCAGTCCATGGGGTCGCACAGACTCGGACACAGCTGAGCAACTCAACAATACACAATCACTCGCACCAGCATAAGAGAAGATAAAGAAAATGACATACCAAACTGTTAACATTAGTTCAGGGAATGAGACTGTGGGAATTTGGGGAGGAAATTATGAATTTTTAATCCAGGTTGTTTTGACTCAGTAACTTACATTACCCAAGGTGGTTAAACACTTTCTTTTAACAGCCCTTTTTCATGTAAAGTCACAGCCCTAGACAGAATGGGTAGAAGGAAAGTGTAATTGAGGAAAGGGTGCAAGAATATGACAAGCGGAATAGTCTAGTTCTAACAGAATTGGCTGAATCTGGAACTATATCATTAATAACGAATGTGTATTTTATAACTACTCTGGGCCAATATTCAATGACATCATCATATTTCTTTTTAGATTTCCATTTTTTTCTTTTTTAAAGGTTACCAGGGCTTTCTACTGGATCGTAAGATATAACATATAATATGTAACTCAGCAGGGCTTCCCTGGTGACTCAGATGGTAAAGAATCTGCCTTCAATGTAGGAGATCTGGGTTCAACCCCTGAGGTGGGAAGACTGCCTGGAGGAGGAAATGGCACCCCACTCCAGTATTCTTGCCTGGGAAATCCCATGGAGAGAGGAGCCTGGCAGGCTACAGTCCATGCAGTCACAAAGAGTCAGACATGACTGTGTGACCAACACTTTCACTTTCACACATGTATCTCAATACATAATGTTTTCCTTGTAAAAGGAAAAATATTCAAAATCCTTTCAATATACATGTGACAAAAGTTCTTATATTTAAAAAAAAATTCCTTGTAAATTTTATTCATTCACCTGCAACTACAAATATTTAAATAAGCTATGTTTTTAAAATATGTATATTTGTCACTCTCACTCATAGAAAAAAATCCAGAAGGATACACAGCAAATTGATAATAATGGTTATTCTCCAGTAAGGTATCAGGTTACCTTTGGGAGAAGGGAGAGCTAGAGGAAACCGACTTTTTTTACTGAAGTGTAGTTGATTTACAATGTTGTCTTAGTTTTGGGTGTACGGCAAAGTGATTCAGTTCTGTATATATATTCTTTTTCAGATCCTTTCATATTATAGGTTATTACAAGATATTAAATAGAGTTCCCTGTGCTACATAGTAGGACCATTGTTTATTTTACATATTTAGTAGTGCATTTCTGTCAAAGCCAAACTTCTGATATATCCCTCCTCTTGCCCCTTCAGTAACCATACATTTGTTTCCTCTATCAGTCTGTTTCTGTTTTGAAAATAAGTTCATTTGTATCATTGTATAATGTTTTCTAGGTTCTACACATAGTAACCTCATATGACATTTGTCTTTCTCTGTCTGACTTACTTCACTTATGATAATCTCTAAGTCCATCCATGTTTCTGCAAATAGTGTTATTTCATCCTGTTTACAGCTGAGTAATATTCCATTGTGTATATACACCATATCTTCTTTACCCATTCATCTGTTTGTGGACAGTTATGTTGCTTCCATCTCTTGGCTGTTGTAAATGGTGCTGCTATGAACATTGGGGTACATGTATCTTTTATAATTAAAGTATTCATTTTTTCTAGATTTATACCCAGGGATGGAATTTCTGGATCCTACAGTAGTTTTATTTTTATTTTTTTAAAGGAATTTCCATACTGTTTTTCACAGAGGTTGCACAAATTTACATTTCCACCAACATCTGACTTTTTGCTGGTTTATATTGTTTATGTTGTTTGTACTTTTATAATGAGGCTAAATTCATATACTGAGTGCATAATGGAAAACAGTAGAAAAGTTTTAAATAAAGACTAGGAAAAATAAACCAACAAATTCTTTAAATGAAAAATCTATAGCTTATAGATTTTCCAGGACTGTGTTTTAGCAGTTTGATAAGATATTAGTTGATATCCACTGCATATAACAGAAAACTCCAATGCAAATAGACTTGACTGTCCTGAAGATCTTTTTCTCACCTAACAAGGAAGCATCTTGTTGACTCCAGGGTTGGTTGGAGCCTGGCTCAGCGTGGTTGTCAGGATCCAGGGTCTTTCTGTCTTTTTGCTTCATCATCCTCTGCATGTTGGCGGTTTGGCCTCATTCTGGTTCCCCTCATAAGATGACCGCAGCGATTCCTGGCATCATATCTAGACATCACAACATCCGGAGAAAGAAAGGGGCCTCCCTTCCTGTGTCTTCTTAGGACGGAGACACTGTTCCCAGAACTCTAAGAGCCAATTTCCCTCCAGCCTCATGGGCCAGAATTGAGCCACAAACCC